GCTGAACTGATCGGTATATGGGTGAGAGGGGTGGGCCGGTCAGCTGGGTCCAGACCATTCTTGCCTGGACAACAGGCGTAACTTATTTTCTATAACATAAGATTATCTTAAATATAATCACCCGCCACATATTTGTTAAAAAAAAAATTGGATCCATTTAGGGTGACTACAAATGTTTGTAAAGTTGTACAACTGTGTCAAAAATAAGTTTTTTGAAGACTGTTGTGAATATTTTCTTTCTTTTTGTTTTTTTTTTGGTTTGGGGGGGTTCGAAATTTCATGCATAGCCTCACAACTTTCTTATTTACAATACTAGAACATATATTTTTTTTAACTATCGAATTGGTGTATTTACGAGTTTCACGATCAAATCATTGAGAATTCGATAAAAACAAAAAATATGAGTTGGGGTTTAATTGTGAATTTTGATATTTTGGGTATGAATTTGAGAAACGGATGAAAGGAAGTGCTATTTTTTAAAATAGCTAAGTTTTGTGTGATATTCATGTAAATAGCTAAGTTGACTATGGAAACAGCCTCGATAATATATGAGTGGAGCTTGGTAACGTGGGCCCCATAGCTGCACCTTTTTTCCTCACTGTTTAGGAAGATTACATACATATCACTTCATTTCTATACTTTACATATCTGACACATAAACTGCAATTTGTTACATGTAGGTCACCTTACCTATGTTAAACTGTTGTATTTCCCTTTTTAAAAGTTAGTGTGATATTTTTTATGTGATGTGAAAGATTTGAGTGGTATAATTGTAAAAGGTTAGGTTTAGGTGTTAGATATGTAAATACATAGGAAATGTGTGATATGTATGAAACACCCCAAATTATTTAATGAGTTTTCCTCTTCTGCATTGCAGCATTTCTCTCCATGCTTTCTTATCACTTCAAAAAATCATGAACTTTCGTACTTTAACAGAATATTAGCTGAAATTTATGCTCACAGATATATTCTTTTTTGCAGATTTTGGTGATAGAGGTCAACACAGTACCTGGAATGACTCCATCTACTGTATTGATTCATCAGGTAATTAAAATTTGAAAGATTTACATATATACTATTCAATTCCTATGTATTTACATATCTAACACCTAAAGTTCATTTTTTACATACACACTGTTTTGCCTATTCATGAAAATATGTGTTTCGCTCTTTAAAAGTTCGAAGATTTACATACATACCACGCAATTCTTGTTACTTGAATATCTAAAACCTATACTTCGATTTTTACATCCACACTGCCTTACCTATGCATAAAAAAGGTGTATTGCATTTATTTTAAGTTTAAATAGTGATATTTTTTATGTGAAATATAGGATTTGGGCATTATTGTGGGCTCCGAATAATGGACACCATGGCATCCCTCAAAAATGATAAAATGAGAATGAGTAACATAGTTTATTGTGTGGTTTCGGGTCAATTTTTTGGAAGACAGATGATTTAGTAGATAAGACACTACCTAGAGATTTCACTCTCATTTTGCGTGGACTTCAAGATCTAGGGTTTGAGGTTTCTCATATGCGCAAGCCCCTATGGTTAAATACCCCTCCCAATAATAGGAGAGGACTTTCGATTAAGGCTAGTCATTAGGGGGCTACTTGCTAAGCATATGGTAGCAGTAATTAGGGCTTTTAAATATAGAGATTCATTGCTTTGTGCTTAAAGCGGATGTTGGGGGGAATGATGACGAACACGATCAAGATCTCATGGTTCTGGCATCCCGAGTTGTCATACTCCATGGTTTACTAATTGAAGCTAGTTGACCCAACTTGACAAAAGAATCTATCAATAGTCATGGGTTGTTTTGTCCAAGGGAACTAATTTAAGTTAACATTAGCTTACAGAAAGCTTTGTATCCTATCGGGTATACTTTCTGATTCACGACTCAGAGGAAAATGATTGTGGAGCATACGAGCCACTGTTGTGGCCGTCATATTATAGTGTTATTTGGTTACAATCATCCGATCAAAGGAATCTAGTTATATCTAATCACTCGGTCAGAAGTATCTGGTCATAACTATTTTTTCGAAGTCTACTGACCAAAGCACTTGGATAGAGGACTTGGGTAACGTACTTACTGACACAAAATATTTTGAGTATAAATTTAGTAATATGTTTGATATGACAATGACTCTTTGTGAGCTCCAGTCAATTTAAAATTTGTCACCCTAAACAAATTAGTGCGAAGGGTGGATAAATTTTAGTTTAACCTTTTGGTGATAGAGTTCTTCATTTTAATATTTTTAATTTTTTTTATAATTGAAAAAATTTTGAATTTTGGGATGGACCTTCTGGCTAAGAGTTACTTTTAACAATCATCATCGGGGAATTGATTATAATGTTTATTTTATAATTTTATTGAATTTAGTTACCTGAGCGTTTAGACAAGATGTCAGTCATGTCAAATTCATTCCCTTTTAGGAGGATCAAACTAAGAACTTAGTTTTGTCAACTTCAATCCTTGTAGGGAGAGGGACCGGATTAGCCAAAGTGGGACTTGATATCTTGTCTTATAGGCAATGTGGCTCACTCAGAAGCATGCATAATTTATCACATTTGAATGTGACTTTGTAAATAGAAATATGCAAATATTTATGTTCTTTTAAAATAATCGTAAACTATTTCAAGATATATTTGACTTGAGCGGAAGTATGTGTTTGACCCGGACAGCATTGTCAAATGTTTTTTGAGTATTTCGGACATTTTAATTTTATTGCTTTGAGTTAATTTCTAAGAATATTTGCATGCATTTCATAGCATATTAGATTTTGACTTAGGTGTATGTTTAACCCGTGTAACATTTTTATACGCTTAAGTTTAGTGAGTTAAGACAAGCGACGGAGCATTTGTCGGTAAATTGAACTTGATTGTTTCGATCAGCTTTTCGAGAATTTAATAATTATTTGCATGAATACATTATCATAGAAATACGTATAAATACTTCACTTTGACTTTCAATTTTTGTTACTTGTCTGTTCGCACGAGTGTTGCAGAACCGGCGAGCGTTGCAGATCCGGTGGCAATTAATTGAAACTCAAATTCTTATTGTGCATTCAAGATGTGATATTTGGTTGCATTTCAATCCAAATAAGTTTAATATAATTGTCTTTTGTGAGAGGCATTCAGACAATGTGAAAAGCATGTAAATGCCCAAGTTAAAATTGCTGTATTTCTTGATGTAATATGAAGGATTTGACAGGTATAAACGTAAAAGGTATAGTTGTTAGATATGTAAATTAATAAGAATTGGGTGGTGTATATGTTAAATCCCCATTTCATTAAGAAGCAATAAAATAAGATTATAACCATTAATCATCCATTAATCTCTTGATTAACTCTTGTTCTTCATGTTCAGGCACTTGCAGAGAATCCTCCTATTTATCCCCATCAGTTTTTCAGAACAGTTCTGGACTTGGCTCTTCAGAAATCAAAGTAGATTTTCTATGGCTCACAGTACTGTTAAGATTTGAATTAATGTTTAATTTTGCTTTTAATTACTGTTTATGTTTCAGTGATTTACATTTGTGATTTTTTTTATTATGGGAGTGTGTGTACGCATTCTCTCCTTTGTGTTTGTTTATATATTGGTAGGGCAGGTTCGGGTCGACTCGAAATTGTCTCGAATAACTTGTGCCTCGTTATTTTTTTATTTCAAGCCGAGCCGACTAGAAATTGAATCGTGTTGGATGCGGCTCAAAATTGAAATGTGCTAGCTCAACTTGAGTTATTTGGATTTGTTTCAGCTCGGAGTCGGCTCGATCCGTCTCAAAATTGAAACTACTTTGCTCAAGTTGAGTTATTTGAATGTGTTCCAGCTTGAAATGCGCTCTTGATTCATTATATTCAATTTTACTTAGCATTATATGTATAATTTTATAAATAAAAAGTACTACAAGACGATCCATGTATGGCTCGAAATTGACTCAAAAAAAAGTTCAATTCAAAGCTTTTTCTTATTTATGTCCATCTAATGTTAATCCAAGCTAAAATTTTGAATCAATTTTCGAGCGTTTAATGATCCTCGCGATAAATTCACAACTTATATATGTAATTTAATGATTTTTTAGTGTTTTCAAAGCTTCAAGGTGGTCTAGCTTAGTTTTGTAAATAGTAATTTTTATGCCTAAAATCATGTGATTATTGCATCGTTTAAAAGCTATATAAAGCAAAAATTAAAAGAGATTATTTTTATTAGTGCTATGAGCATTTTATAGTTCAATCCACGTATTTTAATCAATTTACTTATCTCACAACTAAATTTTGATTTTAACCTGGCGAGTATCTTTTCTTATGTATGAAAAGGTGGAAATAGTGTAATCGGCCTTTTCGAGTGCTTCGTGTGTAAAATTCACAAAGTTTGGGTGTGAAATAAGTAAATGCACGAGAATTTGGTGCTATGTATGTAAATTTTCCGAACAATAAATATTATGCCCATATCATCTACTCCAGTAGAAATAAACATGCATGGTATTGTTGTCTATCTCTCCCAACATCGTTCCCCCTCCCCGCTATTCTTCGCCCCATCCCGTTAAACCACACGGCTTTATCTTCCTACCAGTGGGTTCTTCTCTCCCCAAAGTATGTGGCATTAGATGTTGGTTGAGAACATTTTTGCAGGTAGGGCTGTCAAAAAAGCTTGTTGTTCACGAACTTGTTTTCGGCTCGTTAAGTTACACGAATAGTTTTTTTGAGCTTGAATTATAAACAAACCGAAAATAAACAGCTATTTGTTCGCTCGTGTTCGGCTCGTTTTAGCTCAAAATAAAAATAAAGTTATAATTATTTGTATAATAATGTGTGTTTTTTGGCATAAATTTGGTTCAAGTTTGAATCCAACACTCCAAATTTATTTTTTCCAGTTAATTTTGATGAGTCAATTTCAAGTTGAACATGAACAAGAATATTTAAATCAAATTGAATACGTACACACTATTCACGAGCCAATTTTGAACATGAGTCAAGTCTGAGCTCACTCAAGCTTTTACAGCCCTACTTGCAGACTCTTACGATGGACTCGGAGATCACAATGGTTGCGTCTATGCGTCTTTTTGGTTTTCTTATTATTACCTTTCAGAAGAGTTTGCAATCTTCTTTTCCTTGGCCTTCCTGTTAGTCTTGATGTATTTGGTGCACCAATTCTCACTTCATTATCATCAACAAGCCAATATTCCTTCCCTCTTAAAGTAGCAATAGCACCTTCATATATGTCATTATGTATATGCAAGGTCAATGATGATGATGATGACAAGCATAAAAATTTGCATAAATTAATTTATAATTAATTAAATTGATAGATTATTAACCTAATTAAATAAAAATGGTTGTCAACATTGGTAATCACTGGCTTAGGTTAGGATCCGAAAATATTTAGCAATAGCATTCTACATTGATCGACAAAAATAGTTGATCTTCTCCTCCTTTTGCCAATCAATATAGAATGTTGTGGGGGAGAAGAAGATGACTATTAAGTGATCAAGTTGAGCCTGACAATTAACTCCCCATTTGGGGCAACTTATTTGATGAGGTGTGTTTTGAAAACGCACTCATACCCGTTTGATAAACTGCATTTTGGCAGATTTTTAAAAAAACTGCATTTTCAAATCATTGAACTCAGAATTTTCATATCGTTCCCAACAAAATGCAGTGGCAGCTTTCTATCAGTCATCTTGCTTTTTCAAAAAAAAATTATAATAGTCACCGCAGTTTTTTGAACAACAGTTTATTTTTCAACAATTTATTAATAAATTGTGGTCGCCCCAAACAAACCCTTAGAAATTAAAGATCATAATGCTTCAAATTAGAGTCTCTTAAATTAATAGAAGTCTTTCTATTGACTCCTCCACAAATCTTACAAGAAATAGAAAATTAAATTTTATCCGAGAGAAATTTAAACACGAAATATATTTAAATTTTTTATATCCTTATATGATAAAAAAAATAAGATTTATATGTCACTAAATTCTTATATATTTACAAATCTCAAACCAAAAATTTAATTTTTATGAATAAAAAATATGTATTTCACTAATTTAAAGATGATATAGAGATATTTTGATGTGTACAAAGACTTTGATGGTATGAATATAAAGAACAAAAATTTAGGTATTATAGTAGTTAGCTTGACAATTAATTTACAGTTTTGATCAACTATGTAGGAGGTTTGAATGTGTCTACCAAACGAAAAATTATTCCATACGGAAGAACCGGACGGTAAATCAACTGATCTAAGGTCCCGATGTATTTCGGTGGGCCCCACCTTTTTTTTTTTTGAAAAAAAAACGGAAGTAATCCTGACCGTAGATCACTGCATGCAGAGATGCAAGCGGTGTACGCACGCAATAATTCCTCCCACCAAACGCTGACATATTATCTAATTTTATTTTTGCAATTAATTAATTAATTCTTAGTAATTTCTATTACATTTTAAATATTTTTCAGTCCCCTCTTAAAAACTAAGAGCCGGCCGCAGGGTTTCCCGGTTCCTTCCACATGGAGAGAGCTGACCGGTAGCAAGTCTTCCGGTCTTGTTCTTCTTCTTCTTCTTCTTCTTCCCAAACCCTTCTTTAGGGTTGCGTTTTGTTGGCAGAAAACTCTGTTTTTTTCCCAAATTCTTGGATAAAATAGCAATTTGATGATGTAGGAAGCAAAGGCAGGTCAACTTCAACAAGTTCTGCTTGTTCTTCCATCCATAGTTTTCTCCTCCTGAGACTGCTGAGGTAGACAAAATTCAATGCTGAATCTTTTTGTTTCTTTCCGAAGATCGTTGCTTTCTTCAATTTCTGTTCTGAATTTTGTATTTTGGGAAGGTTAAAGTCAGTCGCTTAAGATCTGGGAAACAACTAATCCTATGTTGCAGGAGAGGAGACTTAGAGCGGCAGAAGAATGGGAGAGGAAATCTACATCGAATCTGAATTGAATACTGAATCCACTGTTCCGCTGAAGATTCAGTGCCTCCGAATCGAGATTCCATCAACCAAAACAGTTTCTTGTTCTCGGAGAAACGATGGAACAAGGCTGATAAATTTCTTCAGAGCTTGCTGTTGCAGAAAAATCTCACCTTTCTTTCCCATAGATGTGCACAGTTTTCCGGCGAACTTCATTAAAAAGATGAACTTGATCTGCCTTATAGATCTCTGCAAGGAATGGATCAAGCATCCTATGAATATCGCTCTTCTCATATGGTCCATCTGCGTCGCTTCATCTTCCTCCATGCAAGCTCTGCTCCTTCTCGGAATGCTGAACAGAGAATTTCCTGCAAAATCTTCTCAAAACCGCTGGATTGAAATCAATAACCAAGTTCTTAATGCTCTGTTCACTCTGATGAGTCTTTACCAACATCCGAATCTTCTCCACCATCTGGTTCTTCTGTGCAGGTGGAGATCAGAAGACAAAGTGGAGCTGAGAAAGATTTACTGTAAGAACGGGGCTCAAAAGCCCAACGAACGGGCTCACATGGCAGTCATCGTTCTCCTTCTCCACATAACCTGTTTCTCTCAATACATCTTATGTGGACTCTACTGGGGCTACACCATAACCACCAGACCAGAACTCCTTGAAAACCTCTTCAACGCCATTGGCTTCCTAGCTCCAGTTTTCGCTGCTGCGTACACCATCTACAGTCCCCTTGGAAAAAAAGACATCTTTGGTTTAGACGATACTGAAACAGTGAAGAAGCTGGAGATGAGTGGAGAAAGAGCTTCAGTTACTAATCCGGAGTGGAATGGAGCAGTATTCGATTGTGGAGATGATGTTTCAGTAAGCTTGCTCTCATTCTTCTGCATCTTCTGCGTCTTCGGTTGGAACATGGAAAGAATTGGATTTGGGAACATGTATGTTCACATCTCCATGTTCTTCCTCCTCTGCTTCGCGCCTGTGTGGATATTTGGCATTTCAGCTCTGAATATAAGCAATGGCTGCATTAGAAATGTGGTGGCGATATCAGGAATGGTGTTATCTCTGTGCGGATTGATCTATGGAGGTTTCTGGAGATCGAAAATGCGGGAAAGATTCAAGCTTCGGGGGAATGGATTCTGCTGCGGCTCTGAAACGGTGACTGATTATGTGCAGTGGCTGTTCTGTTGTTGGTGCTCTCTGGCTCAGGAGGTGAGGACTGGGAGTTTGTACGAGGTTGAAGATGGAGGGATTTACAGAAAGGATTTGGATGGAGAAGATGAAGTAAGTCTGTTGCTTTGCCCTCTGCCTCGTGAGAGTAAAGCGAGCTCTGAAACCAGAGGATGGAGCTCTGTGAATGATATAAAATTGCCACCTTTGCAGCAGCTGATAGAGGTGGTGTGAGGGGACTGTAAAAATGCCACCTTTATTACATACATGACACATAATTCTTTTATATTTACAATTCTAATATTTAATTTTGCATATTTATAAATGTGACACTCGAAAAGGTTATGACACTAAATTGTTATAAATGTAAATTAGACTTTAGGTGTTAGCTTAATAAAAACATGGGTGATTTATGTTTTGTGTGTAAATTTTCTTATTTTGTATTGAGATGGTTAATTTCTTGGGAAATTAAGTGTTGCAAGGGTTAGATAAAGCGATTTGTTATAATATATATATATATATATATATATATTGATATATATATATATATATGTATGTATGTATGTATGTATGTATGTATGTATGTATGTATGTAGACCACATAATTTTATATAATTATATATCCAAGAATTAGATTTTGATATTTATTGCTAACATTTTTTCCTAAACCTATGCATTTAATTATATAAATGCATGTTTTAGTTTTAAAAGCTTTTTAATAGAAGTATTTTTTATATAATATTAAATATTTGGGTGTTGTTGTATGAAGGAAAGACATTCGGTTAGATCGAACTCTCCCAACCTGAACACGTGCCAACAGATCAATTTCGCTCAAGCAGAAGAAACGTTTGGAGCAAAAATGGCCAAGTGGTGAGATTAGGACATGAGATAGCGGACTGACCCACTCGATGATCGCACAATGACCAAACGACAAGGGGTCATCCAACCAAAGCAGTGACAACTCAACTCAAAATGTACTAGATGCGAAGATTTATCGAAAACCCACGAAAATGTATATCGTCTGAGATCGGACAGTAAAGACCAACCGGCATCCAAAATATTATGAGCATAACAAACATCTTACATGTGATCATAATTTTCTATAAATACAAGAACATTACATATAAAAGTGGAACCCAAATACATAAAATTGGCTTATATTATGAAATTTCACTTCTTCCTATACTTCATTATTTGAGTTTGATTCATAGATAAATTCAATTTAAAAATTTATATATATGTAAATAAAAAAATTTGAGTGTTAAATTTATAAATAGATATGAATTGATTGGCATGTGAGTATATATATATATATATACATATATATATATATATATATATA